TCGGAAAGTTTTGGCAATTCATGTTTATAAGCTTTTTTAATGTTTTCCACATCAGTTGAGAGTTATTTTTATACATATCTACTCTATCGAAGAAGTATTGTTCTATTTTCTTTTTTAATAAATTTACTATTCCATTTGTCTGTTTCTTAAATTATTTCCATTTGACATTTCTATTCACCTCAATAGTTTTAATAAAATCCTTATATATCTGATCACGTTGTTTTATTTTCGTTGTCAAACCATGGAATGTTACTTTCATAGTGACAGACTTGAATTGGTGCAACTTTATCGATAACAGTTATTAAGTAAATTGAAATATATGACAATATGAAATATATGAACTCAAATCCCAATCACATGAAATTAAATCTAGTTTTATTTTATCCAAATTTCGCTCACTATCACTATCACTATCAATGAATGGTCACTTATTTTAGGAGTGGGATGGACAAAACAGTTTGCATAATTATTATTAGTTAGTACATAATCAATTAGAGTCTCACTGTTATTAGTAATTCTGGTAGGATCCAGAACTAGTTGATCAATTCCATATTGCAAAAACATAGATTTGATTTTTTTTCACATAAAAACTGTTACTCAAGAAATCTAAATTAAAATCTCCTACAAGAATGCAACGCTTATCATCAGAGATATTTTCCTGGCTTTCTATGAATATAGAATCCGAGCTAGATGGAGAATGATAAAGAGAACTCACCAACCATTGACACACACACCAAAAGTTACTCTTATGACCTTGCACCAGTAATTGTCTTTTAAAATGTAAGTCTTCTTTGTTGAACACTGTATACCATCCTTCACATAAATCACAACACCCCCGGTTTGCCGATTTGTAGAATCACATCGAATGTGACTACAACCATCCAGTTTGATCTCTGAATCTTCAATTTCACTAGTTATTGTATCCTCAGTAACTAGAATTATTTTTGGAGAGTAATATAAAATGTTTATTTGAACTTGGTCAATTTTATGCAGCAAACTTTGGGCGTTCACGTATATGATATCAGTAAAGAGGTGGATATAAGGGTCCTTTATCGGTTATTTAGTTGTGAAGTAATATTTTTGTTTACTATGTTTGGTTTATTGTTGATAAATTTTATTGTTTTTGAATCATCACCATTTCTTATGAACTCTTCAAGTTTGGGTTCAATAAGTTTAAAATATT